ACAACCTTTATTGCCAACAATTTCTCACCCTTGACTACCTCTCTACAAGTTAGAACCAGTCTCATCTGAAAGCATGAGATCAAAACCTACTCCCATAAGCCGCGTGCATCTCTTAATAGCTTATTTATATTTAGTAGGATGACTCGACACCTCGTATAAATTATTTCCATATCAGTATACTCTTTTACCTTGAAATTTTTCATTCCACATACTTTACACATCTTAATTACATTTTGAATGGAGAGTGGAGACCCTTCTTCAAGTACCCTAGTCAATAAATAAATAAAATAAAAATTACGCACCCCCTAGGTCAAAGAGTTCCTAAAATTTCAGTACCCAAGCAAAGTACTGAAATTTTATCATTTATAGACAGGTGGTCCTCGAGTGTCCTATACAGTTTTAAGTTCCTTGCATGCTACATTTAGGCTCGTGCATCTAATCCCTTTAGGTAGCTTCTAAGTTAAAAGTCTCTCGATTTGAGACTTTTGTTCATAAATTAAATAAATTTATTTCAGTCACCAAAAAAATGTACATGTATGTGTCAGTTATGCACATTGCAATAATGTCAGTGGATCTAGGAAAAATGGGACACGTGTTGGAAAAAGACAGACCTGGGCAACGAAATTGCTGACGACCCGGCCATCGTCTATGCACATGCGAGGCCCATAGGTGTTGAAGATCCGAGCAATCCTCACCTAATCCCCAGAAAATATTTAAATAAATTGAACCATCATCAAAAATAAAAATGAGAACAAAACCATCGACAAACTCGAACCGTTAGTTACCTCAACTTGAGCTCCTCGGTGGTAGTCCATGCGTCAAAGTCTCCGCAGTCCGCCTCCCCTCATCGTACAGCTCCGAACCCCTGAGGGGGCCACGACAACACCACCACGATCAGACACGTGTCAGCAAGGGTTGAATTTTAAAAGGGAGGGGGGGGGGTGGGGGTTGCAGGTTACCGATGGGTTTGACGTTTCCCCAGTACCTCGACCTGAGGATGCTGAAGGGGGTCACCGTACACCTCGCTGGTGGAGGTGAGCAGAAACCGAGCCCCAACTCTCTTCGCTAGCCCCAGCATGTGAGGGTCCCAACTACGTTAGTCTTGTACAAAAATGAATAAAAGTCAAGGTGGAAAACAATGGGGAAATTATTATTTCTAAAAAAACCGCAAGTACCTAAAAAGGGAAGGGGAAGGGGGAAAGTGCAATTAAAGCTATTTCAATGTACGCATTACCAAAATTTGGAAAAAAGAAACGCATCTTTACGATCAAGGACAAAAAAAAAAAAACCCAGCTATCATTATCCAAAAAAATGGGGGGAAATTTCAGGGGGTAAAAAAATCATGGAAAAAGGATATGATGGTCTTGACGGGATTGAACTTGTAATGCACGGGGCGAAGCGCGGGCAGGCGAGGTGGTAGATCTGTCGACCTCGAGCAGCAGCGGCTCGACGACGTCCGTGGCGCCTGATCAGCTCGAAATTAGGTTTCCGAAGTGATGGGCCACGTTCTCCTTCCTCCCCGTGAAGAAGTTGTCGACGACGCATCACGCTGTCCCCCCTCGCGATCAGCCGGTCCACGAGATGGCTGCCGACGAAGCCCGCGCCGCCGGCTGACCACCACGCGGAGCCCTTCCGCTTCAGCGCCCAGCGGCACTTTTCCGCCACGTGGAGGCGGAAGCTGGGTTTTGGGTGGGGAACACGGCCAGGGGATCTGCGCGGCGAGGTGCGTCCCCGCGGCGGCTGCCTGCTGCCGATGAGGTGGAGGCGGCCGGGCCGGCGGGGAGAGCGGTGAAGAAGAGGGAGGCGATGGTCATGCCGATGAGCGGTGAAGAGGAGGCGCTGCTGCGCGGAGAGGAAGGGAGATGGGTGGCGCCCAGCCGCCTTGGCGAAGGCGCCACCCAAGCTATCATTATCCAAAAAAATGGGGGGAAATTTTCAGGGGGTAAAAAAATCATGGAAAAAGGATATGATGCGTCTTGACGGGATTGAACTTGTAATGCACGGGGCGAAGCGCGGGCAGGCGAGGTGGTAGATCTTGGTCGACCTCGAGCAAGCAGCGGCTCGACGACGTCCGTGCCTGATCAGCTCGAAATTAGGTTTCCGAAGTGATGGGCCACGTTCTCCTTCCTCCCCGTGAAGAAGTTGTCGACGACGCATCACGCTGTCCCCCCTCGCGATCAGCCGGTCCACGAGATGGCTGCCGACGAAGCCCGCGCCGCCGGCTGACCACCACGCGGAGCCCTTCCGCTTCAGCGCCCAGCGGCACTTTTGCCGCCACGTGGAGGCGGAAGCTGGGTTTTGGGTGGGGAACACGGCCAGGGGATCTGCGCGGCGAGGTGCGTCCCCGCGGCGGCTGCCTGCTGCCGATGAGGTGGAGGCGGCCGGGCCGGCGGGGAGAGCGGTGAAGAAGAGGGAGGCGATGGTCATGCCGATGAGCGGTGAAGAGGAGGCGCGTGCTCGCGGAGATGGAAGGAGATGGGTGGCGCCCAGCCGCCTTGGCGAAGGCGCCGGCTTGGGGGAGTACGCGCCGTCGGATTGGCTTTGAGATTCGTGCCCCCGGAAGATGAGCTCTGAAGAGCCCATGGCCTTTCTTGTTTGGGTTTTTTTTTCTTCTCGTAAAAATTGGATTTTGATGAGGGGTTTTGGTGAAAAAAGGGGGAGGGCGGAGGCGTGAAGGGCGTTGGTGGGAGAGGAGTTTGGGAGTTATATAAGTTGGAGGTCGGGGGGAGAGGGTAAGTTGTGCCGCTGGAATAGGATATATGCACACGTGTCAGTTCTGAATAAGATTTAAAGACGACTTAGATGTTGTGCGTATAGGATGAATTACTTTCACAACGTAGTAATTTGACAAGTCTATATTATTATCGGTTTTTCTGTAGAGCGCTCTTGGGAACTCTACAAGAGAGAAGAGAGAAGAGAGATAAAGAGAAATGAATGAGGAGGGAGGCCCCCTGATTTGCATTGGGATCCTCTTTTTATTCATTTCTCTCTATCTCTCTCCTCTCTTATAGAGTGCCTAAGGGCACTCTATAGAAAAACCGTATTATTATATATTAAAGAAAAACTATATGTAAGTCAAATTTTCATAAATTTCTGTAGACAATCTTGTCTTATGAAAATTCAATAGAAATATCCTCACACTTGCAAAAACTATATAGTGTTTTAACGCATAAAAGAATCAACATAAATACTCTTAACCATGTAATAATTGAACGGAAACGCCTCATATTTTGGGTGCAAGCACGCATTTGCGCGTACCAAAATATAAGTATCTATATAAAACGAATAGCGTTATTTTCATTTTTCGATTGTAGGCCATAAAAACTAGTAGAAAGAAATAACCAAATCATGTATAACTATAATCACAATAAACTATTTTATGAATAATATCATAAAGGTAGAAACTTGTATGCAATAACTCTTTTTAAGGGAGAAAATTAGGTATGGCTTGGCAGTTGTTCTATTAGAATATTATAAGTTGTTTGAAAAATTATGTATTGCATATATCTTCCGGTTTTTCTATAGAGTGCCCTTGGGCACTCTATAAGAGAGGAGAGAGATAGAGAGAAATGAATGAGGAGGGGGCCCCCCTGATTTGCATTGGGATCCTCTCTTTATTCATTTCTCTCTATCTCTCTCCTCTCTTATAGAGTGCCCAAGGGCACTCTATAGAAAAACGGTATATCTTCATATTTCGTCAAAAGGTTTGCAAAAATTTAATGAATCTTAAGACTTTAATGAAGTTTCAATGTCGAAAAGAAGAAATTTTTTGTTGAGATTTCAAACAACAGGTTACTGTTTTTGAAGACTTTTTTCTCTTGGTGTGATAAATATTATATTAGAGCTAGTATTTTAGAACATCTTATTCCTGACATAATTTTTTTTTTCATGTAAATAATATCTGAATATTGTCAATTTCTCACCTAGGAGATGTTTTTGATATGGGAGTGACAGCGTGTCACCTAATAATAAGCAACACATAAGGAATGAGATTTAAAGCCATCATTCTTAGCTTTGCTTCGTAGTATGTGTTAAGTGCGCTTAGTCAAAATTAGTAATATTTCTGTTATAAGTAGCGACTAATCATATTTCCATTTGTAGACGTGACAAGTCAACAATGACAGCAATGCAAGAATGATTTTGCACAAAAATATTTTTAGGGCTATTTAGATATTAGTCCCTGCAATAATTCCATATTAGTCCCTAAAATCTCAATACTTGCTCATTAGTCCCTCAAAGTCCAAGTGTTCTTGCAATTTGGTCCCTCAAATGACAAAACTATCCTTTAGTTGTGATTTTTCTCTTAAAATTCATCTTGCACTTTGGTCTCTACGTTAGCACCTTTTTAAAGTTTAATATTTAAAAGTTTTTGACACTTTGATACCATAAAGATTACCTCCTTTTTAACTTTAATACCTTAAAAAATTTTCTCTGACACATTTTTTACAAAAGAAAAGTTTATACCTTATTAACTTTGATAACCCATATTCTTATTTTTGTCACTTTGAACCCAAACTTTAAGGTATCAAGGTTACAGAAAGTTTATAGTTTGAGGTATCAATGTCAAATGTGGAATCTTTGGGATATTATAGTTAAATGTGTGAATTTTGGATATCAAAGTGTCAAAAAAAGTTTGGGATATCAAAGTTCAAAAAAGCGTAAACTTCGAGATATAAAAGTATAAAAAACAAAACTTCGGAGTATAAAAGTTAAAAAAAAGGTGTGACTTTTAGAGTGTAAAATTGCAAATAACCCTTCAAAGAAATATTAACTGAGGGTATTTTGGTCATTGAGGTGTTGGCCTTCTTGTTTTGATGATGTTTAGCAAACAATTTACATCTAATGTTGTTTGCCTAGTGTTTGTATTTTCGTATTTATTCTAGACAAACAACAAGTTGGAGGATGGATGGAATCGGGCATTCACGATCATATCAAATGGAGGTTAGCGGAATTGTGGAGTGAAACCTATGCAATTCAAGTTAAAGATCCAATTACAAGCTTCATCCGCAAGTTTACCAAGTTGAGCTACAATGAAGATCAAGATCAAGCTTGGGTAACTTAGTTTAGGTTTTATATTATGTGTGTTGATACTTTAAGCTCAATCATATACACACATACACGTTTTGGTTTTATATATATATAGTTATATATATATACATATATATATTTTGGTTTGATAGTCTTCAAGTTTTACTATGAAACAATAGAATACAATTGAAAATACATTTCTTGTTTCATACTTACATGCACATATATGATTTCATCAATATCAATTTTATATTTAATTCTATGAAATTATGTTTTAGTGCATTATATGTGTATTTTGATGAAATACTATATTCATTGTATATAGACTTCATAACAATAGTTTATATCTTTTATCAAGTCTATACAATTAGTTCATAAGGTTTCAAAATATATAGACTTCATAACAATAGTTTATATCTTTTATCAAGTCTATACAATTAGTTCATAAGGTTTCAAAATGTTGTTTAAGTCAAAATATCAAAATATTCTTTTATCAAGTCTATACAATTAGTTCATAAGGTTTCAAAATGTTGTTTAAGTCAAAATATCAAAATATTAATTTTCAGGTTTTCATGTTTTTGAACATATTTTGCAAAATGATGATATTTTACAAATGGGAAATGCAATTTGAAAAATTCCTCTTGTAACATGTTCATTTACATGTTTATATACATTTCCCAAAGTTTCATTACTTTTGGACATCATTTGTTATTTTTAACAACTTTCCAAAAGTCAGAAAAACACTTTCAAAACCTGTATTTTCATATATCAGTTTGCGGTCGACCGCCACGGTCGACCGCGCCTATGTTTTTCCCTGAGGAGCCAGCAGAGACTTTCGCAGTCGACCGTGACGATCGACCGTCAGC